CCTGCAGTTCCCATTGTGAGATCCAGGTGCGTGAAAGGTCTCGATTTCAATTTTTCGGTGAGAGCTCTTGTCACGTGAGAGGCTTGTGATCCTGGATCGATGAGAATCCGACATGGTACCTTTGCGGAACCTACTTCTGCCCATGCCGCCGCCGTCCACAGGAAAACCGAGTCGCCTAGAGTGTCCATGCCCATGTTAACTGATAGGTTTGCCTTCGGCTTGCCGCTGGTATTCTTGGACGACTTCGGGCAGATGATCGCGTAGTGGTTCGCGTTGCAGTATCGGCACTTGGTCTTCGGGCCTTCTCTGCAGTGTTTCGCATCGTGGTTAAGTTTCAGACATTTGAAGCAAGCTCTGGCTGTCAGCATTTTCTCCTGACGTTCCTCATACGTCAGAGGCGTCGTGCATTTGAAAGGGGGGTGATCGCCTTCGCAGAATAGACACGGGAGGCTTTGTCCTCTGGGAGGCTCCCTGGGAACTGATCGGCTCGGGAACGCTGATGAAGCCACGTGAAAGCTGTTCGAGGAGTCCTTGAAGGTCGTCGTCCTTCCGGGATTGCTGAAGTGATCTCGAGATTGGTAGAATGATGGACGTGTTGGAGGTCTCCTGAGCCCGTTCCGATGCTGGAACTTGTCGTTGCTCCTGAAGCTCGAAGGTTGGTTAGGTGATCTCCTACATGAGCCCTGATTCTCTCTGAGAGCTTCTGTTGTAAGCGCTTCTGCTTTAAGGACTTTAATTAACGCTTCAAGCTTGCATGTTTGTGTTGTGGTTTGTGTTGACCTGTAAGAATCCATGAATTTACGTTGCGTCTCGTTTGATAGTTTGGCGAGGATTCTATTGGCGAATGCGGGAGTTAATGTTATGTATGATTGGCCGAGAGTGATAAGTGCTAGAATGTGTTGAGAGATCGAGTTAACAAAACCGGGTAACTTATCGTAGTTGATTTCCCCTCCGGATGAGATGATCCTCTCCAGCTCTCTCAGATGCCCGTCTTCCGCCATACTCGTTTGTCCGTATAACTCCTGGAGTATCTGCTTCATTGGTTCGTAGCTTTCTGCACGGAGGCTTAGATGTTTCACACTGTGGTAAGCCCGGCCCGTCAGAGCGTCGTGGAGCAAGATGATCTTCTGAAGAACTGGTATGTTTCGGTCGTGGACGAAGGCGTCGAACATATCCATAAATTTCCGATATTGTTTCGGGTCCCCGTTAAATTTCGGTAGCTTGAAGCTTTTCGATAATTTCGGTAGATAGTTCTCGGGGGGTTCGGTGGGGCTGCTTTCGTTCTTGCAGGTGATTGCTGGATCCGCGGGTATTGTGATCCCCTGGAGTGCTTGCGGAACTGGCGCTGGATCTGGTGGAGGTATGCTCGGGGTGTTCTCAGGTGGGGGCAGCTGTGCGATATGGGAGACGTTCGGTGACGATGTCGTCGCTGAGTTTCCCGAACTGTTCGCGCCTCTGATCTGAGCGTCCATATGGGTAGATGTTCTCCACTGTGGATCTTGATTTTGAGGTGGAGGGACAGGTGTCGATGTTTGAACGACTCCTGGATTTTGACTCCTCCCAAACGTCGATTCCGCCGTCAGAGGTTGGAGGTCCTGGACCAAACTTAGTCGGAGCTCTCTGAGGTATTTTAGAGTCTTCCGAATATTGTTTTCGATCCCGATGAAGTCTGCCAGTTCTAGATAACCCTGAGAGGTTGGTCCTCGGAGTGAAGTCAGATGAGCTCTGGTTACGAGTAGCCACTCCTCCAGCAGAGATGTGATGGTGCCTCTATAGTCGTCGACCTGGTCGAGTGCATCTCTCTTGTCTGCATCCTCGTTGTAAAACGAGGTCGCTTCGCTGATGTAGAAATTCACTCGTGTTCTCAGGATATCGACCTCAGAGATCGCGGGCTGTGTTTGTTCTGTCGGTGGAGCGATGGCGTTTAGGGGTTCTGGGAACCTGCCCCGGTTTCCGATTCGGAGGGAAATTCGGGGCGACCTGGTCGCTCGAGATCGCT